ACTAGCTGTGTGACCCTGGGCAAGTCACGTCACTGTTTGCCTCAGTTTCCTCATCTGTAAAATGAGCTGGAGAAGGAAATGACAAATCTCTCCAGTGTTGTTGCCAAGAAAACCCCAAATGGGGTCACCAAGAATCGACACGACTGAAACAACTAAACAACAACAATAATAGCTATAATTAATAATATAATTAAGCTATAATAATAACAATGATAGCTAGTTACTTCTACAGAGCTTTAAGGTTTGCAAAGTGCTTTACAAATATTATCTCATTTGATCCTCACAACAGCCCTGGGAGGTAGGTGCTATTGTTCTCCCCATTTTACAGATGAGAAAACTTAAGAGACTATAATGAAACTATTACCCTTATATTCATCTCTTTAGCCTCTATCAGGGGCTTTGTTCAAATCTCACCCCAGCCACTAACTTGACCTATGTGGCCTTGGGCGATTACTTCACTTTTCTGGACCTCAGGTTTATCTGTAAAATGAAGACTTTGGAGCTAATGATCTCTGATCTCCCTTCCAACGCTAAATCAATGATCCTATGAAACTCTTTTCCCTGCTTCTCCCCACTACTACCAATACCCCCACATGTACTTTCTATATTTGAGGAAGATGTATTGGAAAGAACGCTAGGTCTGGAGTCAGAAGATCTGGGTTTGAATCTTCACGGCTCTGCGATTTAATACCAGCATGACTCTGGACACATCATATCTTCTGTTTAGGCAGCTAGGATACAACACCCAGCATGGGGTCAGGAAGACTTGAGTTCAAATCCAATCTTAGACACTTACTAGCTGGGTGACCCTGGGCAAGTCACTTAACCTCTATTTGCCTCAGTTTCCTCATGTGTAAAAGCGGTATGATAATAGCACCTACCTCCTAGTCTTGTTGTAAGGATCAAATGAAATAATAATTGTAAAATGCTCAGTGCAGTGCCTGGCACATAGTAGATGCTATGTAAATATTAGCTGTTATTATTATTATTAGGCTTTATTCCCCTTATTTCCTCTGAGGGCCTCAGAATAGATGATCTCTAATGTTGCTCCCATTTTGGAAATTATGAATTTCCCATAGCCTTTCATTTACGATTACAATGCTCTGGTTTATTGCTAGAGGAATTGGACCTGTGATTTAATTGGTATAAAAAAACTCTGGGGGCACTAAGTGGCTCAGTGGATAGAGCACCGGCCCTGGAGTCAGGAGGACCTGAATTCAAATCCGGCTTCAGACACATAACACTTACTAGCTGTGTGACCGTGGGCAAGTCACTTAACCCCATTGCCTAGCCAAAAACCAAACAAACAAACAAAAAACCACTCTGGAATAAAGAAATACCCTCAGTTAATGCCCATCGGCATCTTCTCCACAATTTCTAGTACTGGAGAGTTGTCTGGACCACTGAGAGGTTAGGTGATGCACCCAGGGTCACACAGTCAGCATGTGTTAAAGGAGATCTTTCTGAGTCCCAGGTCAGCTCCCTGTTGGCTGTACTACAATATACTACAATGTACTACAATGCCTCTCAATTCAAAGTAAACTCATTTATGTCAATACCTCATCTGCCCTTATTGAAAGCTCCTTTGAGGAGCTAGAACTTTTTTCCATCTTTGTATCTTCAGTGCCTAGCAAAGGTCCAGGCCAACAGCTGATGTTGCATAGGTATTGAATTTCATTAATTGAAAGTTTAATTGAATTGAACTGATCTAGAACCTAGCCACCTTGTCTGATAGGATCTTCATAGGAAAATTCATTGTTAGTTCCAGGAACACATGTCTCTGCCTCACAGCCCTGGCACCACGAGTGGCAACTTCCCTACTCTCCCTCCTAGACTGGGCAAAGACAGCCTATGTAGGGAAGAAGGTGGGAGGGTCCCAGGCATGCCCAGAAGATAGTTCCAACAGCTGTGACCCAGGAGTAAGCTCTTTACTGAGGCACCCATTGGTGCATAGGAGATATTCATAATCTGGGCACCTGGAAGTCAGTGAACTGTGATGATTTTTTTTCCATAACAGAAATGTATTAAGGATTGTGAAATGTGAGTTTCCTAGGCTGACAAAGAAAACCATCACACCTGTTTAACTTGTCAATTACAATTAGCAGACAACCACACAGATCCACATAGGGAAATAGTAAATAAAAAGAAACCAAAAGCTAAATTATTTCAGATGAAAATGTAAGTGAGTAAATAAATATGAGTTGGGTTCCGGGCACAAGCATGTTTTTGAAATATCAATATTTATAGGTGTGTGTCTGTGTGTGTGTGTGTGTGTGTGTGTGTGTGTTAGTTATAGAGGTTGTATGTGTGATGCACAAGAAAGGGGGTCATGGAGCAAGACTGTGATCAAGAAGGGTCTCTTTCTTAACAAAGGGCTTTAGGATTTTTTTCAGGAAGGACCAAACTTTCAGGACGCATTCATTAAAGGAATCTGAAATCTGGAGAAGATTTGATTTGTCCTGCTCAGCCCCAGAAAGCAGAACTGTAAGTGCTGGGAAGAAGGTGCAATGAGGAAGACTAAAGCTCCAAGTAAAGAAAACTCCCTAACAGTTAGAGTCAATCCAAAGTAAAATGGATTACCTGGGGAGAAAGTGAGCTTCCCATCACTCTAGGTCTTCAAGAAGATCAATCACTCAATCAACCAATAAGCATTTGATAAATGCTTACTAGAAACCAGAAACAGTGCTAGGTACCAGGGAGAGAAAGACCATGAAACAATTCCTGTCATTTCAACCTTTGTACCATTGTTTGTATACGTCACTTTCTTTCCTCCGACGCTGACTATTGCAATAGCCTGCTGGTTAGTATCCCTACCTCAAGTCTCTCCCTCCTCCAGTCCATCCTAGATTCACCTGTTAAAATGATTTTCCTAAAGCATAAGTCTGGCCACATCACCTCCCTCTTCAATCAATTTCTGTTGTTTCCAGGATCAAATATAAAATCGTCTGACTTGTAAAGCTCTCCATAACCTGGCCCCTTACTCCATTTTCAGTCTCCTCATACCTTATTCCTCCCATGTACTCTGTAATCCAGTGACACTGATCTCTTTGCTGTCCTTCTAATGAGACACCCCATCTACAGACTTGGACCATTTTCTCAGGCTATCCCCCAGGCCAGGAATGCTCTCCCTTCTCATCTCTGTCTTCTGTCTTCCCTCCTTGGAGTCTCAGCTGAAGTCCCACCTTCTCCAAGAAGTCCTTCCCAAGTCCACTTTAATTTTCATGCCTCCCCTCTGAGGTTTCCTCCAATTTATCTTGTATATCCCTCGTTTGCACAGTTGTTTTCATGTTGTCTCTTTCATTAGATTGTGCATTCATTGAGAGCAGGGGATTTTTTTTTTATCCCCATTGCTTACACCTGGCACATAGCAAGAACTTAACAGCTTGTTGACTTGGCTAGATGTTCTATTGAGGGAGACAATACGTATAATGTAAGTATATACAAAATAAATCAAACGTAATTTGGGGGAGGGGAGGCACTAGAAGTGAGGTGAGTGGGAGGATCAGGAAAGACCTTATACAAAAAATAGCGGTTGAGTTGAACTTTGGGAAACCCGGGATTCCAAGAAGGCAGGCGATAAGGAGGGAGCACCTTCCAGGCAAAAGCACGCAGATGGATAGGAGATGGGAAATCTTGGTAAGGCACATTAAGAAGGTCAATTTGTCTGAAACACAGAAGGCACGAAGGGTGGTAAGGATGAAGCCAGATTGTGAGTTTCAATGCCCAACAGAAGAGTTTGCATTTGCTCCTAGAAGTGATAGGGAACCAATTAGAGAGGTTATCATTATTGTCCATTTGAGAGATGTGGTTGTGTGAATGGAAAGAGAGACAAATGGAAGAGATGGTGTAGGGAAAGAATTGACAAGAGTTGGCAACTGGTTAGATATATGGGGTGAGGATGAGTGGGAATTGAGGGCAACTATGAGGCTGTGAACCTGTAAGTAGAAGGATGATGCCACCTTCCACAGTCAGAAGGAAGTTAGGAAGAATGGACGGTTTGAGGAGAAAGATCACTAGTTTAGTTTTGGACACGTTGCATTTGTGGTGTCCTTGGGATGTTTAGTTCAAGACGCCCACTAGGCAATTGGTAATGTGGGACTGGAGCTCAGGAGACAGATTTGAGCCATCTATATAGATCTCAAAAGTAGCTAGGTAGCACAGTGGATAGAGCACTGGCCCGAGAATCAGGAGGACTTGAGTTCAAATTCAGCCTCAGACACTTGATACTTACTAGCTGTGTGACCCTGGGCAAGTCACTTAACCTAATTGCCTAGCCAAACCCCCCCCCCCCAAAAAAAACCCCACTTTTAAAAAATTTTTTTTTTTTACTAACTTTGGAGACAGCATGAGTGATGAGCTCTGAAACAGAATTACAAGGAGCTGATGGAGAGGACAGGAAGGAGAGGCCACCAATGTAGACACCTTTTTTCTTTTCTTTTCTTTTCTGTTCCTTTAAAGGAGTTTGGCTTTTGGAGAGGAGGCAAAGCTTGAGGGGATGGCAGAGCCAAGTGAGGGTCTTATAGGAATGAAGGGGACCTAGGCACATTTGTAGGCAGCAGGGAATGAGCCAGTTGAAAGGGAGAGAGAGAAGATCAGAGAGGGGAGGATCGTGGAAGCTGGCTGACCAAAGGCCGTGGGAAGAGGTGGGATCGGGCCGTATGATAGATGCTGTCAGGGATATTGTTGAGTATATTCCTGCTCAGGTATAGATTGGAATAGACTTTGTGACTTCTGAGGATGCTATGATTCTGAGGGAGAGGCTTAGCTTTGCCCTGTGCCCTCTGCATTGCTCCTTTCTTCCAGAGCCGAGTCCTGCTTGGGCCCAGGATACCCTCCCTCCCCCCAGGCCAAGCACCAAGCCATGGGGGAGAAGGCAGCAAACGCAGTCCTGGATGACTATGAAAGTCAGCTGTGCTCAGGACACTGGGCCTGCCGGCTGAGAACCTGTGTTTAAATCCCAGCTCTCTTATTTACTACCCACGTGACTTGGGACAAGTTACCTTTCTGGGCTTCCTGGTAGTTCATCTGTAAAATGGCAGTAGTTGGGGGAGGGGGCGGGACGGTGTCACACATACAACTGTAAGGCCCTTTCTTGCTAGCTCCAAATCTTAATCTGATAATTCTAGGATGAGCATTTCAGGCTACTTCAACAAGGACATGGGAGCACCCTGCACCACACACTTGTCCTGTGTGTGGGCAGACCTTCAGTCAGTCACTCAAAGAACAGGTGAAATGCAAAATGTGCCAGAAAAAAAACAAATCACAAAACAAGCGTATGAGTCACATTGTTTTTCTAGGTGGGGACTGCTAGGGAGTCTTCCTACTCTCCTGCTCTCCTAGGGAGGCCTTCTTCATCTTCAAGACAAGGAGCTGTACCCACCCTCCCAAATTTCAGCCAAACTAAACACTTCAAGGATCTGTGATTTTCTCAGTGTTGCTATTCCCACCGTTGCAGACTGCAATGCCTCTTAAGATTCTGTAAGCAGCTAGGTGGGGTGATGGGTAGAACACTGATTCTGGAGTTAGGAAGACCTGTGTTCAAATCCACTTATTAGCTATGAGATCCTGGGCAAGTGACTTAACCTCTGTTTGCCTCAGTTTCCTCATCGGTTAAATAGGGATAATAACAGTACTTCCCTCTTGGAGTTGTTGTGAGGATCAATGAGATCGTGATTGTAAAGTGCTTAGCGCAGTGTCTGGTACACAGTAGGCGCTACATAAATGTTATGATGCTTTAGCTCAGTCTTGAAACAAGAGACTTTAAGAGGGGATGTCGAATGAGGGCCCCCTAGGGATGGGGGACAGCCGGTGCAAAGGTGTTGAAATGGAGTGGAGGGAAGTGCATGAGGAACAGTAAGAAGGCCAGTTTGTCTGGACTGTAGAATGTGGCAAGGGGTAATGTTTAGTAACAAGGCTGGAAAGGTAGGCCTGAAAGCCCAGCTCTTACAGGGCCTTAAAATGCTAAATAGAAGAGTTTGCGTTTGATCCTAGAGGTGGAGTTTACTAAGAGGAGTGATGCCGTCAGGTCTGTTCTCTGCTGCTGTTCTTATTATTTGTCCTCTGTTCTCAAAGAGGACCAATGACATCACGGAGGGAGGTCTCGACTCGTGCGTGAACTGGATTTAAGTGAGGCAGAGCTCTGCGAAGTCATCAGTCTCACTCTTTCCTCCAGAGTCATGGAAATCCAGCGACAAAACATAGGTCAAAGATGGCTGGCGATGGCCCTGATCCGTCCTTTAGGAGAAATGTGGAGGATTAATTGGAGCAGGGAGAGACCGGGAAGCTACTGGAATAAATCAGGAGAGGAGACTGGGGCCTCCACTAGGGTGGTGGCTCTGTGAGTGGAGAGAAGGGGATACACCGAAGAAGAACACAACGGAGGCAGAAAGAATGGGATTTGGCAATACTTGGGATACGGGAGACGAAACGGGAGGGAGGAGTTAAGGATGATATGGGGCATCCAATCCAAAATTTCCGTTATGTTTTCAGTCATTGCTAAAGTGGAGAGGAATTGATCCTCAGACGATGATGATGGCCACCAAAGGAACAGAATCAAATCTAGAGGGGAAATAGCAGAAATACGAGGTACTGAGAGATATGACCAATGCTCGGGGTGCCCTACTTTACTGAACACACACACACACACGTACAGATGCACAGGCACACGCACACACACATATACATATACACACACACACCTGCTATGTAGTAGGTACTTAATAACTATTAGTTGACTTGATTCGATTTCTAGCGCTCCCAATGTTCCTCAATAACATTCCTCTTTCTGGTGATGGATAGGAAACCACAGCAGATTAAACCCAACCCTAGCCCAACATTTTTTCTGAAATACAAGTTTAAAAAATGAATAACTACTTAGATACGTTCAAGAAAAGGAATAGAGGTGCTAAAAATATCACAGCATTTCCCCTTTTCATAGATTCACTCACATAACTAGGCTTTTTCCGCCCCCCCCCCCGACCAAGTGACTGCCCCCAGAGTGTGGTGAGGAGACCACATACTCAGTTCCGATGAACAGCTTGGTGGTGCAGTAGATATAGTACTGGGTCTGGAGTCAGGAAGATCTGAGTTCAAATCTGGTCTCAGACACTTACTAGCTATGTGACTCTGGGCAAGTTACTTCTCCTCTTTCTGTCTCAGTTTCCTCATCTGTAAAGTGGGGATAATAATAACACCTACTTCCTAGAGTTGTTGTGAGGATCAAATAAGATTATAATTGGTAAGTGCTTAGCACAGTGCCTGGCACAAAGTAAGCACTATGGAATTGTTACCTATTCTACCCTGGACAAGTCACTTGGCCTCTGTTTGCCTCAGTTTCCTCACCTGCAAAATGGGAACAAGAATAGAATCTACATCCCCAGGTTGTTGTGAAGATAAAATGAGATATTTGTAAAGTGTTTAGCATAGTGCCAGGCACATAGTAGGTGCCTTATAAATTCTTCCTCCCTCCCTCTCTACTTTCCTTCCTTCCTTCCTTTCTTCCCCTCCTTCCTTCCTCCCTTTCTTTCTCCCTCCTTTTCTTCCCCTTCTCTCCCCCCTCCCTCCCCCTTTTCTCCCTCTCCCTCCCTCTTTCTCCCTCTCCCTCCCTTTCATCCTCTCTCCCTCCCTCCCTTCCTCCTTTGAACTTGACCTAGGTGGCTTGGGGTGCCCTGCACTTCTATAACTTAGGGATCCATGATATCATCAATGTATGCCCTCCTCCCACCAAGACAGATGGAAACTACCTCTGGGCCTTAGGACATGATCTTTGTAAGTTCCAATGGATGAAAATATCTCACCCTGTAGCCTACCTGGTGAAAAGACTCTGTGAAATAAGATAAAGGTTGATCCTCAAGTGATACACACTTGGTCCACTCCCAAGTTAGTACATCCTCCCCGGCTTGGTAAAGCAGGCTTCCTTCCATGCCCTAATTAGATATTAGAGAAGGACTTTGGTGGAGATGTGCTCCATAACTATTATTACTATTCCACAGCATGTCTCTTACCGAGAAGGCCTACAAAGGCTTTACAATTCCTCATGTTGTGGTGTTGCCACCATTTTGGAAGAAACTTGAGTCCTAGGGAGAGCAGACTCTTCTTGGACTGGTTGGAAGTGAAGCCAGGAATGTGTGTGTGGGTGTTGGCTTCCCCTATAGAATGAAACCTTCTGGAGGGCAGGGACTGCTTCACTTTTTTCCTATACACCTCCAGTCTTTGCCTAGTGCCTGGCACACAGTAGGTGATTAATATATGTTTGTTGATTGATTATTCACCTGTTATAAAATGTCTGGAAGGGTAGCATCCTTATGTAAAAGCCCGAGTTTCCCCTATAAAACAAGAAGGATGAAGCTTGGGCATCCAGTTTGACTCTCTAGTCTGTGCTGTGTTATTTTCCTTCCCTTTTTAAGTCCCAAGAGCTGTGAGATGGAAAACTTCCCTAAAGAACCTGATAATTAATTGTCTACTGGTGGAGTGTGAAGGTGAATTCTGTCTCGCTCACTCTCTCACATTCAGAGCTTCCACTGATTGTGAACAAAGCCTCCTCTGGGGATGCTGAGTTGTGGGAGGATCGCAGGCTCCTGTGTTTCTGGAGGGGGCGTGGTGCTTAGCTTAGCTCTGATGGGATCCCAGAATGGATAGGCAATGGCGCTGTCTTTGCGGCTGCCATTTTTTTCTGCCTGGGAATCCTACTGAGATGAGATGTGGAGGCAGCCTTGATGGCTCCAGGACACCTTCCCCTTGGCTTTCTGGTTTGGGTGCTGCCGTTGACCACTTGGGATTAGAGTTGGCAGGACCCTGAGAGGTCATCTAGTCCAGCCTCTTTATTTTACAGAAAGGACACGGAGGTCCTGCCCAATCAACCTGCCCAACTCTACAGGTAATATGGAACAGGCCCAGGATTTGAACTCAGGTCATCATTCTCCATTACACCTCTCATAAAAGGCAAGTGGAAACAGGAAAGGGTGGTATGGATGAGACGTGTGTGTATATGTGTGTGTGTATGTGTGTATGTCTGTGTGTGTGTAGCTGGGAGAAGGAGAGAAGCTATGCCATTCACCTACACATGAAGATTGTTTCCTGGCATCTGCTGAGAGTCCAGGAAGGAACCCTGCCCCTCGCCCCCCAAAAAGCATAAGATTTACTTTGTGCATATGATAGTTCCATATCACCCTCTTGGGAAAAGAGAAGGGAACAAGAGAAGGTAAGAAGCACTTATGAAGTCCCTACTACATTCCAGGCACTGTGCTAAGTGCTTTATGAATATTATCTCACTGGATTCTTATAGCAGCCCTGAGAGGTAGGTGCTATTATCATCCTCAGTACCTGAGAAAGACCCTCTTACTGGGGTCCCAAAGTACTGCTACTGCACCAAGTCTCTCTGAGACGGCTGTCCCTCTCCAAAGTCTCCAGGATGACCTGGGAAATCCGGGAGTTTGGTCTCTTGGGGAGATAGCCCTGAACATCTCCTTCAAAGGACCATAGACTAAAAACTAGAAGTGCCCTTGCGATCTGCGAGTTGAACCTCATCATTTTGCAGACCAGGAAAGTGAAACCAAGAGGTAAGATGATTTGCCTGAGGTCACAAAGGCAGTTAGGGGGTACAGTGGATGCAGTGCTGGGCCTGAGTTCAAATCCAACCTCAGACACTTACAGGCTTAGGTAAGAGTCACTTAACCTCTCTGTGCCTCAATTTCCCCATTTGTAAAATGAGGATAATAATAGCACTGCCTCCCAGGGTCGTTGTGAGGCTCAGATGGGATGACACTGATAAAGTGCTCTATTCGATGCTGGCTGTCATCACTGGTAAGCAGCAGAGCAGAGGTTCAAACCCAAGCTCTCTTAGTCTCCTTCCAAGGCCCCAAGAGGCCCCCAAGTGAGACCACCCCCATTTCTATGGCATTTTACAGTTTATGGAGGGCTTTCCTTATGACAGCCCTGTAAGGTATTGGGGAGGACAGAAGGGGCAGGAGTGCAAGGATCACGACACCTATTTTACAAATGAGAAAAAAGATATTGCAAAGTCAAGTGACTTGTCCTGGGCCACATGGCTAGGGAATAAAGTGGAGCCAGGGTGGGAGCTTGGGTCTTTTGGCTTCAAGTCCAGTCTTTTTTCCATTAAGCTAAGAAACCCTGCCCCTGTAAGGTGTCTTCTCTTAATAACTAAGAAGGAAATTTTTGGCTAACTAAAAATGTTGTTAATTGAAGTCTGAGATTGCTCATAGCAAAGTGTCCCTTGGTGGAGTTTTATGGTCCCCACCCTCCTGCTCTGTAGGGTCAGCTCTGGCTCTCTGGCGAGGCCTTGCAAGGTCTAAAACTTGGGACTTGATGGAATCAGGATCACAGAACTTCTGAGCTAGAAGGGACTTCTGTCTTCTAATCCAGAGCCTGAGCAGGAATCCTCCTTTACCTGAGCCAAGGGCTCATCTAGCTTCTGCTCGATACCCTCCAGGGATGGGGAGCTCACTATCTCCAGACACTCCTCGTTCTCCTTGTGGACTTCCCTCTCTCATCCCTGGCTTCTCTTTCCTACAACCTATTAGCCAACTCTAATCCCAAGTGGTCAATGGGGGCACCCAAACCAGAGAGCCAA